GTGGTCCTTAGTTCGAGTACCGACGGCAGGATTTCCGGCTCTAGGGGTACCTACCCTTCGGGATACCTAGATCGAATTCAGCCTGACTGGAGAAAAATTCTAGCTTTCAGCTGCTCTGGTGGGTAGTTTTATTTGGTTTCTCCGATCCACACGAGGCGAATTCTGAAGCAGTACCCAACAAAAGGGCGCCGGACCGCGAGCGATCTTTCCTTCCTCTTCCTTTTCCTATTCTCACTCACAAACACCACACTATCACACATATCGAGAGACCTGTCAGGAGCTTAGACTCCGACGACTGGGGCGGTGCCCCGCCGGCTGGAGATATCTGGCTGGGGAAATCCCTGCTAGTCGGCGTATGTTAGTTCCGGATCTCGCTATCCAGGGGGGGGGGGAATCACCGCCACCTCCCGTGATGAAAACATGCACCACTCTTACCGAACTAATGAGCTTAGTAGTTGCCGCGCCCAACACCACTAATGAATCAAAAAGTTAATACTAAACGGACGTTAAATATAATTCTCAAGATTCTGTCAATGCGTGACGGGTGTCGGTCGGGGTGGATGTGCAATGCTGGTTGCGAGCGGTGCGCTGGTGCTGTGGTCTCTCCGCGCCGTTGGGGCATGGCTGTCGGCGGGCTGCATGCGCCCTCACGCAGATTTGGAATGTGCACGATGTACGACGTGTAATCTGGAGCCTCAGAACCCTCTGGAGCCAGTCGCGCTTCATGAGAGGCCTCATCGCACTGGTGTTGTTTTGGGAAGATGTGAAAGATTGTCTTTCCTGTAAAAAATTGTTTGACTTAATGGGTTTATACCGTTGTTTATCCCGTTCTGACTCTTAACCACATTTATGGTTAGTTAAAGGTCAACGTTTTACATTAAACTCTTTAGATATTTATCTAGAATAATTTCAGACTAGTTTCGTGCAATAAACGAGGCGGAGAAAGAGAGAGACAGATAGACAGAGAAAGAAGATAGAGAGAGTTAAAGAGACATTGACCAAGGAGGTAGAAACATGGTCTACAAATGTAGCTGGAGAGGATGTATACATCATAGGAGATCCGGCTGGGTCATTTTGCGTTTCGGAGAGCTTACTTAGGCGGAGAAAGTTGAAGGTCGGGAATCCTCGTGACTTTCTGTTGTATTCCCCTGCTGCGCCGCGCATCGCATTGTTCCTCGTGATTAATAGTGCGCCTCTTACTTCAGCTGTAATCGAGAGGGTACACTCTCACTATGTGCCTTACACATAATTTATCAATTAATCGATTCTTCGCTTTAGACTTACGAGTGTAATCATCGTTCCTCGAGGGCACGACGGTTTTTTTTTTTTAATTCTCTTAGCCTTCCGCCCACTCTTATGATCACACCTACGCGCCCTGAACCTTTGCTGCTTTTTCTCCGCCCAACAATTCATTACCGATCATCCGATATCAATTATCTCTGGCTCGCTGTCCACTTCGTTTTCCAGCCCCCTTCGCAGCTGCACCCAACCGAATTTGCCACTTGTCTCCTGCCACTGTTGGACGCCGTCCGCTTTTAGTTTGTTTTGGTGGTGGGCCGCCATTGTCCGCTGGATGTCCAACCGCCCAGCGCCCCGTGCTGCCGTTGAAGCGTCCGCTGCGGGCGGTTCGTTTCCGAGGGCGATGGATCGCTGCGATGAGATAACTTTGTCGCTTCACCTGACTGCCCGCAGACCGCGCCGCGCCGCCGCCTCCATACCAACCTCCTGTTCAGCGACGCGCTTCCTCGCCACGGGCATCGTCTCAACCCTCATCCCCACACTTTGCTCGCGCTATCGCTATTAACCGTCATTTGTTCATCCACTTTCAACATCAGTATTGGTATGCGTATTGACTTCCATTATTTGTCCGCATTATCACTGTTCATAAACGACTATCACTTTCAATATCAATTTCCATTGTTGGTAATCGTATTCACTCCCAATTTGTCCACGCCATAACTATTCAACATCACTATGAATCAATATGAATCTTCAGTATCAGTATTTGTAGTAATTCTCAACTCTGACTATTCATATAGTCACTATCGAAAATCATCTGCGATGAGTTAAAAACAGGTCGAACCCCTGAGCTTACGTTAATTAATGCTAACCATGATCCTGCATATGTGCTTTTTTATTGATTTATGTTAAGTTATGTATTTTATGCAAATATTGTTTTGGAAATATTGTAAAAAACTGACTTACTTTATTTTTTACTACTAAAAAATTAGTGAAATGTTAAGTCTAAAATATGCAATTGCATGGTTCAGTTCATTTTACATTACTAATTTCTAATTATATATCATCACGTCTATTCACGCACGTATCACTGGTGCCCTTATCAAAATTTTATAATATTTTTTATATTGTGTGTAATATGTACAATGGAGTACGTAAATGAGGAATGAATACATCTTCGGTATCAATTTTATTATCTTACATGGGTCTTTATTATCGTACTAAGTCTTGGTGTAGTGCTAAACATTTGTAGGGTAAATGGGATTACAAAATTTGAAAAATAAGAAACTGAAATCATCTGAGATGCTGCTCTCTTCATTCGAAACTTGAAACTGAAAATGCCTGAGAAGCACTAGATTTAAAAACTAAGTACATCATAAACTGGAACCAAATGTAAACATGACTTCGTAATATTATTACCAGAGAACTTGCAAATTATATTTAACAAATTGAAAAAAATAATTCATGCAACGTATTTTATGAATATTAATAATGTACAAAATGTCACACTTGTACTTGCCACCACTGAGCTGAGTTAGATTCAGAAGGACAGGTTCTTAATCTGAATATCTGCTTGCTGTTAGGGAAGCCAGAATCAATATTTGTCGTAAGATACTGTTGTAATATTTATCGGCGATCGTGCGTATGAATATTTATGAATACGCCGACCGAATTTATGAACGCACGTCGTTATGGCGTGTAGTAAAGTCGCCGAACTCGATTCTCTGAAATATTATTACATGTCCCATTCATCAGTTAATGAACAGTGGCTGGCTCTCCAACCGCGTGTGTACGAGTGTCGCACTCCCGTGAATCGAATCCTCCACTCCGAGAGTCGCAGCCCGAAGGGAATCGTCTAAAGAAAGCGAACCGTTGATCAAATATTGGAGAAGCGATTATACTAGGGCTCGGCTGGTTTCTATCCCGGTTTACATGCTTTTGCTCTTTGAGTGTAATAAAGAATATTCATTCTTTCTCTCACGTTGCCGAGCCAGATACAAATCCATATGCCTGTTTTGCCGACATCGCAAGTGGCTCGATACCGTTATAAGATATTACTGACCAAAAGAGCATTTTTTAAATTATTTTTTTGTTGCGTGAAAACGTTCTGGGTACATAAGTATTATGCGTCGACGTAACCATGATATATACCGGTTTATGAGGTTTCTGTATTTGATGAGGTTTTTGAATACATAAGTTGCATTTCTCTGTGAGGGATTATGATACCTGACACTAGTTATCTTTTTGTCGTATAAATAAGTTATAATAAATAAGTTTGTTTGATGTGACATACGTCGAAATGTGAATTTAAGTAAGCTATGAGAATTTATTATTTTTATCTTACATAGAGTGTTGATATGCTGTGTGATACATAAAAAAATATTGAGTGTTGTGCGAGATGAAATGTTCCTGATAGTTTCAGAACGGAATGACTTGAAGTTCTAGCCAACGTGGAATCTTCGTGCCATACCAAATGTTCCTACAATACTCCGGCCGTATAACTTTGGATGAATTTTACTTTCTTCTTCTTTATTGTATTTTTAAATCGTATCTGGATAACACTGCTAAACCGAATGTTAATTTAAGCATCAGAAAAAGAACAAAAGTCCATAGTTTTCCAAGTCACGGTCAAAGTCCATAGTTTTCCAAGTCAAGTACCGGAGATATTCATGTATAGATGAATGTGTTAGAGATTCTGCATTAGTCGCAATATCATTAGTAATTACAGAAATAAACAGAAGGAAAATATGTTCTGGACATCTCTTTGACAGCACTTTTCACGTATATTGTGAAGTCATTTGATAGATATAAGGAAGTTTGTAAAGATAGTATGACGTCACCTCTAGTTGAGAAATAATTTCATATTCAGTCTTTTATTTAACTCGTCTTCCATTAATATGACCACGTTGCATGAAACAATTTCTGCGAAATGTAATTCATACAAAAGTGATCTAACAGGTCTGACGTAGAAAAGGGTGTTCTTGATTTGATGAACTTGGTCCATATAGAATAAGGTCGCAGTGTTAACATCTTTTAGAAACCAAGTGTATCGAGTTCAGGGCAAGAGAAATTTCGAGCAGTTTAGAGTAACGAATGCAGCGGCAACTCATCACATTTATTGGAGCATACATATCATTCCCTCATCAACGTGTCATTTGGCCCGCAGCCACAAGAGCAAAAGTTGCTAACGTGACGTAACACAAACAATATAATTATCTTGGAGAGGGAAATGTGACGTCTTGTTAGTCCTGATGGACATCCCCGCGAAAATTAAGCAAAGCGAAGTAATTGTGCAATGCATGTAGGTAGGTCCCGAATTTTTTCTCTCACTCGTAACAGAATACCACTGGGAATATAACTCTAAAAGTTGACATTGACCTTTGAAGTAGTTATGTGAAATTATATTAAAACTTCCTTTGGAGCTCTTCTTGGGGCAACAACTTCAGGGAAATAATTGCTTTTCGTCGGATTGCGATTTACTATATTACTACTTTTTTTTTCGAGAATAGACATACTATTAAAATTAACACTCGAACGTTAAAAATAACTTCCACGAACAATAATCTTCTTTAGCAGTTTTCAATATCTAAGATTGATACAGAGATGTTACGTAATATATAGATGTTGCTGGCATCCCTTGATAGATCGACGACAATGACGGCATTGTAAAGTGACGCAATGAAACACCATTAGAGAAACTTATTTTACTGCGCACATACTCTTCGTGATTGGTGTTTGAGTCGCGTCTCCGGACACGGGAGATGGGCCCCTCAGATAAACATCGCTGTACCTCTCTTGCGCCGGGCGGAAGACGTCTGTGCGGCGTCTGCGTCGGCGGGGGCGAGCGGGCGTCCTCACGGCCTTGGACGGCGGCGCAGCGGGGCGCCAGCCCGAGCCCCGGCGCCCTGACCCACTTCCCGGCGCCGCCGCCGCCGCCGCAGCTTACGTTTCTCCGACGCAGCCGCCGCCGCCGCCGCCGCCCCGCCGCCGCCGCCGCCGCCGCCCCGCCGCCGCCGCCGCCGCCGCCCCGCCGCCGATGTCGATCTCCAGATAAGCAGCGACGCAGCGCCAGGTAGACGCGCGCGCCCCACAGCGCCGGCCGGTGCCGCCGCGCCCTCCCCCGGGCTGCGCTTACACAACCTGTTCCACCAAATTACGCGTTTCTCTGAAAGGTCGCCCCTGTTTGCTCTGGACGCTGGGTAACGGGCGACCCCCAGCCCCTGCCCCCTCCGCCACGGGCCGCGCTCCCTTTTCACTCCGGGGCGAGCCCTCCGGAGGGCGCTCTGAGGCTCTTCCGGTCGGCCCTTTCTCGGATTTTGTCTCCTAACCATCTGTCGTCTGGTTTTATTCACCTGACGCACCGGGCAGTATTGATAGCAAGTCACGCGTTCCCACGTGGTTTACTATCCCGTCGAGAGATTTGTAGATAGAATCAACCACGGTATATATAATGCCTAATGATGATGATAATAAGTAGACACTGTGACAAAGACCTAAAAAGGCACTTTAGAGTCGTAATTTAAGCATGTACAGAATACCTTTCGGTTAGCTCAAAGAAAATGCACTCTGTGCACGGTAATATTTCATTTGTGCTGGTAAATGCATCAATACATAATTATAAATTTTAATCACTAATAATTCTAAATTTACAATTATTGCAGTAAATTCCTTCTCTATTTCTATATTAACAACGTTTTTGACAAGAAATTTTAATTTTCGACATGTTTAAAGTATTTGTTTAGACGTAATTGCATTCATGATAGAGTATGGTATAATCATAAATCATATAAGCTGATGTACATACGAAATATCCTCAAAGTACAAAGTTCATAAATATGTTCGATCCTTAGCAGGTAAACGGCGGATCATTAGCTTGTTTATTGTTACAAAAGCTCCGTCCACTGGCGCTCGTTTCCGGCAAGTTAAACCTTTGGGGCAGGGGGACCCCCATGGGAATTTTCAAACACGGGTTTCCTCACAATTGCATAAAACTGTGGATATCTGTTTACAGGAAGTCGTTAACTCTGTTTTCCACTCGAGAATATAGATGTGCTTCATTGATTACACTTTCAAAGTACTGAAACGATAAATTTCAAGTAATCTAAACACTTTCCCGATAAAACATGGTCAGTTCTGGTAACTACACATTCATTTACGAAACCACTTTTAATTATAAACATGTTCATATTTTAAGAAGCATTATGGCTTCTTGCGTTACTACTAACCTCGTTTCTTGAATACTACCTTTTTTCACTTGACGGAAAGGCATAATATAAGTTGGGTCTATTTCACATACAATGTTACTTAGGTTATTATTTATTTGATGTTTAGTTGTAAAAAACGTTTTGACGACATTTTATGACAAAATATATTACGTGAAAATAATATGCATTTGTTTTACATCAAAATCCTATTGCAATTGAAGTTTGGAATAATCAATAGTTCTATAAAGCCTCAACTACAGTTAACAAACGTTTTTGTAGGTGGAAAACTTCAACGACTGTGTAATTTCATTTGAAGTGTTACGAATATTACTTAAGTTAATGTCAATACTTAAGTTGATGTATGCTATAGCCCCAATTAATGTCTCAACTTCTCCCTTAGACACTTATATGTTTACCATCAGTACGGTACAATTGTGGAAGTTGAGATCGATGGTATGAAGAAAACGTCGGATAGAAATGATGTAGAAAGAGCGCAGTGATCCATTTTCAATTTCCTTGAAACGAAGTACGCCCTTGGAGGGAGGAGAGTTCGTGAAAAGATCAAATACCAACTGCAGACTGTTTTTTTTTTTTTTTATCTAGCAAGATCTATCATCACTCCCAATTCTTCTTAGCCGTAAATGCAAACTTCCTCTTATTCCTTTCTCGGAACTTCTACTTCCGTACACAGTCTCTGAACAGACCTGTATGGAAACTTCGGTGTGTTATATCTCAGTTCCACTGTTTGTTGTTCAGAACCAAAAAAACACTTTTTCACAGCTTGCGAAACGAGCGAACTTTTTCACAGCTTGCGAAACATCTGTCAGCGAGGTGTCCATTTCAGCTGAAAAAACGCAATGTTTGAAATGTATCTTTTCATTTTTTTTGTAAATGTACTCAACAATTAATGTCGTTTAGATAAAAAGAATGGGCAATGGTTAGAAATTTAGGTCATTTTATAAATTACCCACATTTCCCTGATCCTTTTCTTACTGGCATACTGGCTTACTGGAAGTCTGCAGTAAGTAGCGAAAACTTAAATGTGTTATACGTCACCTACTTCTCATGTCTCTTTTGATCCTCCTTGTCACTTTAAAAACAAGATGTCATCTATTGTTTCTCCCTTTTAAAGATGACATCACCAGATCCGAACTTCTATAATTTCATATTCGTTGCTTCCAAATCCTTAAGGTCTTGAGGCGCTGAACCGACGAAGGTGGCTCAGGGCATCCATCACTTGATGTGATTGCATTGCGTCTGACCGGTAGGACCTAGGGTTCGAGTCCCGGCGGTGGCCGGATTTGCGACACTGGCTGCATAGCTAGGTGTAATTCAGCCGCGCGCTGTCTGAAGGAGAATTCTAGTGGTTGGCTAAAGTTTTCCATGGTTTCTCCGATCAAGTCTAGGCGAATACATGAGCAGTATTCTTACAAACGGGACACGCACCCTGCGCGCCGTCTTCCTGTTCCTTGTCCCATCCTCATATCTCTCTCTCTCTCTCTCTCTCTCTCTCTCTCTCTCTCTCTCTCTCTCTTACTCTCTCTCCTCTCTCACCTCTCTGCTACTCACTCCTCACTCCTCGTCACTCACTCATCTCTCTCTCCCTCTTTCTCCCCCTCTCTCTTTTCTCTCCCCCTCTCTCTCTCCCTCTCTTTCTCTCTCTCTCTCTTCCCTCTCTCTCTTTCTCTCGCCTCTCTCTCTTTCTCTCCTACTCTCTCTTTCTCTCCTCTTCTCTCTTTCTCTCCCTCCCCTTTCTCTCCCTCTCTCTTTCTCTCCTCTCTCTCTCTCCTCTCTCTCCCTTCTGCCTCTCTCTCTCTCTCTCTCTCTCTTTCTCTCCCTCCTCTCTTTCTCTCCCTCTGCTCTCTTTCTCTCCCTCTCTCTCTTTTCTCTCTCTTTCTCTCCCTCTCCTCTTCTTCTCCTCTCCTCTCTTCTCTCCCTCTCTCTCTCCCTCTCTCTTTCTCTCCCTCTCTCTCTTTCTCTCCCTCGCTTTCTTTCTCTCCCTCTCTCTCTCTTTCTCTCCCTCTCTCTCTCTTTCTCCCTCTCTCTCTTTCTCTCCCTCTCTCTCTTTCTCTCCCTCTCTCTCTTTCTCTCCCTCTCTCTCTTTCTCTCCCTCTCTCTCTTTCTCTCCTCTCTCTCTTCTCTCCCTCTCTCTCTTTCTCCCTCTCTCTCTCTCTCTCTCCCTCTCTCTCTTCTCTCCCTCTCCTCTCTTCTCTCCTTCTCTCTCATTTTCTCTTCCCCTCTCCTCTCTTTCTCTCCCTCTCTCTCTCTTTCTTTCTCCCTCTCTCTTCCTCTCTCTCTCTCTCTCGCACACACACACACACACAACTTACACATATACCTTACCCACATACGCTACCCACGGGAGACCAGTCGGGAGCTTAGAGCTTGTCCGGGCTGGGGCAGTGCTCCACTGGTTGAGGATGCCTGATTGAGGAAAAACCCCGCGAGTAGACATCAGATCTCGCCATCCAGCGGGGGAAGATCACCGTTGCTTCCTCCTCCTCCTCCTCCTCCTCCTCCTCCTCCTCGATAAAAACATGCACCACACTTACGGGAGCAATGTCCTTAGCAGTTGACGCGCCCGGAAACACTAATCAATCAATCACTGAGTCGCTGAAAACGCTCTCCAACTTCATGCAGGGTGAAGAGAAGCTTCCGGCAGACGTAACGCGAGAGTGGGCGCTGGGAGTCGCGGGTTCTTTGTGCACTTGTGCGGGGCGCGGCGCGGCGCGGCGTGGCGTGGCGCGGCGCGGCGCTGTAGCGCGGGGTGGCGCCGGGTAATGGTGCCGCCTACGCGCATGTGCAGGGCTTGTAAGCGGGCGCAGTTATCGTGTTATCTGGCGAGGCGGCGGCGGCGTGTTTGTCGGGTTCGGCTCCGCGGCGTCGCACGCCCGAGCGGCGTGTAGCCCGTTCCGGAAGGACGCCGCTATAACGCACGGCGGCGGGCGCCGCGCCGGGGCCCGAGGGGCCGCGGGCGTTGGGTGACGCCGGTGGCCGGGGAATCACGGGAGCCCGCGAACTCTAGGAGCAACACAGTATCGATGTTTCTAGACATCGATGTTCGAAATTAAAACACCAATGTTAATGAATCATTGATGTTCCTAAACATCAATGTTAATGAATCATTGATGTTCCTAAACATCAATGTTGATGAATCTTTGATGTTCCTAAACATCTATGTTAATGAATCTTTGATGTTCCTAAACATCTATGTTAATGAATCATTGATGTTCCTAAACATCTATGTTAATAAAGCATCGATCCCAGACCATCGATGATATGAAACATCGATGTTTTTAAAAATGAATTAGTCACTATTGGTGCTAATTCAGTGGGATTTAATTTGAAAGTCCTCTAGTTTATTAATATTTCTAATTTAGATTTAACTGGCAAAACATAGTAAAAATCACCAGAATAATTAACAATACTTCACTAATTATTTCTGAATTATCTGATGCCATATTTTAAAAAAATACAGACTCCTTTACCGACAAAAACTCGATTTTATTTTATTTTTTTACCCTTAGTCAGTTTGATCTGAAGAATATATTAAATTTTTTGAAATTTTTTATCAATTTTTTAATGATCTTATTTCATTTCAAAAATGTGGTCCATGTAAAAACATCGCACCCATAACGTCAATGTTGCAAAAAATCGTCTTCAAAAAATCGTTGTTAAATACATCGATGATTTTATAAAGCAATGTCGATGTTTTGAAAACATCGGCATCGGTGTCGCATCCCTTGTCTGGGGAGCCAAGGGCCGCGGACGCGACGATGGCCGACGAGGCCGGGAAATAGGGACTGCCAATGCTGGAGGCGGTCGGGAGTTCTTGGGCGCAAGCTTTGTTGGCAGTCGGGAAGTCAAAGTTCGCAGGTGCTGGGGGAGACCGTAACAGGAAAATCGTTGGTGGCAATCGCGTACTTCGTTCCTAGGCGGTTGGAAATGCATCAATGCACTATTTACACATGATTTCATCCCCTTCGATCCTCAGTTCCACATTCTTCCTGTTCTGATGGCAGGCACATTTCAGTGTCAAAGGGAATATGTGAAAGATTAATTGGCGTTCCATAATATTAAGTATTGTCATCAAATTGTAAGTAATATTCGCATCATATTTCAAACCAAGAGTAGTCTTTTGAATCTGCTCCCTATAAAAATGTTTGTTAACTGTAGCTGATAACAGTTGAAGCGTTATTGAACTGTTAAATATTCGAAACTCCAATTTGGACAGTCAGGATATCAGGTACTGTATGCGCAGAGGGAAGCTGGCAACCTCGGAATCAGGGAACACAATCTCTGCTGGCTACCGGAAAACCAGAAGCTCTGGGAGAGGCAGAACCAGAAAATCAAGGACTGCAAGCCGTGAAGCGAGTGCGAAACTAAGTATCGCGTGTGCTGGAACTGTCAGCGTGCACAGAAAATAAAGATCTGCAAAATATAAAAAGTAATGAAATATTTTCCATAGGAAAAAAAATAATTACGTATATATTTTATATTTATCATTCTGTCACCCTCCTACTTTATCTTATGTATTTTCATTATTTAACATTATAAGTGGTTAGTGGATAGACGAATACAAACAAAGAAAATGCTGCTAAATGAAGTCCGAAATAGCTGTACAAACGTTTTCTCATTTGTACTTGCCCCTAGCCTTCCCATTTTATGTGAAGGGCATTTACCTCAACATCCTTTATGTTTCTCTGATCATCACAACTAAATTTCGGAAACCGGATCAGAAGATTTGTCCATGAGTAAGCAGCGCATATTACGCCATAAAAATTCTTGTCTACAAAGGCGGGCATCTAATCAAATTAATCGGTTCGTGTTACTTGGGCCATTAATTTAATATCAATGAAATTTCTTAATTTGCCGGTTCTTTTGAAGCAAATAACATTCGGCTGGTTCTGGTAATTTGGCACCGTATTAATTTCTTCAGATTGCAAGTTTTATTAGTTCTTCAAATAAGGCAGCTTTTAAGGCCGAAGTCGTCGACCTCTCTGTTCCTGATGGATTTCGCAAACCATTTAATAGCCCTCAGTGATCCAGAGTAATTTATGGTAATTGGCAGAGACTGTGTGCTTTGATTGTAGACTACAAGAGAGCAGAGAGCTGTTCTTACTCCTTTCAACAAGCGGTGAAACGTACTCGTGCTAGTTATGGCGTCCATTCGATTTTGTGATGGTTACAATAGGTTCCTGGAAGTTTTTCGTCAATTACCTCCATTTTAGTTGCTAAATCATATCTACACCATCATCAACATCTGCTCTGGTCATTGCCAAATCAAGAAAATTCGTATAATATTGTATTTGGAACAAAGATCAAAACAGAAATTCCAAATATTGATGACTCTTAGACATATACCTTGTTTCGTTTCTCGTATGTGCAATCTACTGATTACATAGCATAATTTTTTCTAAAAGTCTTTCCAAAGATTGTTTCTCTTAGAAAATTATGAGCTTTTTCGTTTACCATCTTAATACTGTTTTCAGAATATTTCAGTGTATCTCAAATCTGCGGTAAAAACAGTGAAATTGTACAAACTTCTTAAATTAATACAAAGTACGTAGTTTCAAAGAGATTTTTAGGAGCTTGTATTAAATCGGTTTCTATTTTCATAGGGACCGGAGATAAATTTCGCCAGTGCACATTAAGACCACTATAACTATACGCCAAAGTTAATGATAAGTTTTTGTGCCACGGCAAAGAGGGTTCACATAAACTATTTCTTTGCGCCCGAAAGTAACTAGAGTAACGAAAGTAACTAACAAACTAATAAAATAAAATTGGTACACATCTTCAATATGATTCATATTATATGAAAGCATTGTATTAAAGACTTATTTGATTTCTTGTGACGTCATAGCATATTCTGCAAGAACGTATGTTTCTCGCCTGATCTAATCCATTACTTATATCCGCTATCCGATCTGAAACAACTGCTTGAGCCGAACTGTTGCCGATTGCGGATCGAGACGCTTGGCTCAGTCAATTGCCTTCGCAGTTACGCTTCCCTCTCTAATAAAACTCGGCCCATCAGATGTGGCCCTTCTGTAGAATGGAAAAAATACTCCTGCCTATTCTATAATACATTATTCTGTGGTTTATAAATTTTTTCGTTTATTTGTAATATTTCCGAGAATAATGAAAATATTTTAAAGGCTATTTTACGTTCCCCACACACATGGTTTTAAATATTTTACGCACTCCATTGGGGAAAATAAACAGAACGTAAACTGTTGGAAACCTCGCCTTTGCCATCCTCCCCTACGTTACGACCGTGTGTTTGAGCAGATAAAAGAAAATCGCATTTTGGGGGAATTTCTCAGAATATAAATAGTTGTGGAGCGCTCTCTATCTGGTGGCCAAGCGTTGGCGACCTCGGCAACTCGCGGTTAGGTGGCCAGGCCGCCCCAGTTTCCACGGCCGATTCCGCCCAGCTGCGCATGCGCGGAGACTCAGATGGCCTGCGACATCTCTGGTCTGCGAGAATATACCGTTACGAAACAGACGCAAAGCGTCTCGGAGCTTCTGATAAGGCCAAATGTACGGTAAGTAGTTTGCAATTTGTAGTAGTACGTAGTTTACAATCGACTAAGAGTAAGCAATTTGCCCTAGATGTCTTGCAATTGTATTCGGATCGATGCAGAAAATTGAGAGAAAAGGAAATTCGAGAGAAGTCGAATTCTTCGATGTAGGAATTTTTAAATATGGCCTTCTTTAATAAATTTTATTTAGTATAAAGAGAAACCACAGTTTCTCAATGTCGAAGGTACTGGAATTTATGAAATTGTCCACATTTCGTTAATAGTGAAAATATCTGTTAATAAATTGATGAAATGGAAATTATCATGAAGTGAGCAGTCACTATTATTACGTTAGATAGATTTAGAAACTAATATTTCGTTTTTAATCATATTATGCATTAAGTGAGACCAAAAAAAACCTTCACAAGAAAAAGGACGTATATCATTGCAATCCCAAAATAATGCTTCGGGATTCTTTGGTTTCGAAAATTTGTATACTTAATTTATATCTGTTATTGACAACCTATTGGAGTATTATTGATTCGACCTGCATTCCTTGTGAGAACGTAAGTTGTCTTTACTAATAACTTTCTTAATATTTTCCTCCAATAACAGATAAAAACATCTGTTGCCGAAACAGGGACATGCATCAAATGATAGCAAGTATTGTTACATTGAAATTTCTCATGACAGACACGAGACTACGTTGTTAAAATAAGTGAAACCGTGACCAATGAAACTTGGATACAATATTTTCCTCCACTGAACAAACAGTTCACTTTATTCTATTTGTTGGGAAGGAATTTACAAAATACCGACAGTAAAGATCGCCATAGTAGTATCTAACAATTTAAAAAATTATAGTAATATTTCTTTTATTATTTAGAGAATCAAAGATAAAGGAGAAATAGTAACTATAATTTATTTGCTTTATTACTGTCCAAACGCCCATAAATTGTCCATTTATTTAATACACTTATACTTGATAAAAAAACGAAATCAGACTTACAAATGTAGTAGACACACACCAACCCAACGTGTATTACACAATCTTTACAGTGTTACGAGACGAAATATTTTCTATCCAATATGTACGGTTTTGTCCCTTGGCTGAAGCGTCTCCTGTTCCTCCTTCCTAGGTTGGGGCCCCAGGCAGCACCTAGTTTACTTAGAATTTCGCGTTTACACACAAGTGTCTGTCGAGTCGGGGACCGTCTGGTACAACGGTTACACATATTTCAAATCTCACAGACCATTAAATGTTTGCTTTTCAATTCCGTGAACCACAGCTGGAAAATTTTAAAACGGATAGTAGATATTTTAAAATAATGTGTAGAGAACTTCCATTTTATTAATGTGAAGTATAAAAATTAATTCAGAGATAATATGAAGGCTTGCAATAAAAAAAATGTAAGTGCCACTTTCATACTTTCGAGAAAAATGCAGTGTATGTATATTATGTTAAATCTATTGGGACATACGACTCCTGCCGTTTCTAATCACTTCGTAACACTATCAAGAAATGCGTCTGGACTTTGGCTCTTTTTTATATTACAGGGCTTGATTATTCTGGTAAAAACGTAAATTTAAATGGCACTTACTTTTTTTAAAATTTCAAGCCTTCATTTGTTTCATTATGACTAAAAAACATAATGCTAATAATGTTAGGATTTTTTCGGTGGGGCACCGGTTGGCGGCCAGAGACAACTGTGAGGACGAGGTCACCGGCCGCCCCAACTGCAGCGCCGCGATGCGTCGCGCCGCGCGCCGCCGTGGCGCCCCACAGCGCCTATCGAACTGGTCCATCAGCGGCCTCTTCCGAGAGCTCGTCCTCCTCGCGCCTCGAGACGCGTCTCGTTTCGTGATGGCCGCCGGCCTCCTCTTTCTCCTTTTTCCGATTCCCCCCCTTAACTTCCGCGGCCTCTCGCCGCCCTGCTCCGCCCCGCCCCGTGTTAGTGCCGCCGCCGGTGGACGCCGCCCGAAACCGCCCCTGTGGGGGGGGCGTGACGCGTGGGCCCCGCCCGCCCCGGCCCCGCCCACTCTCTTTTTTTCACCCATCCCACCCACCCCACCGCGCTGGCTCGCCTCGCCTCGCCGGCCCGCCCCGCTCTGCCCTGCCCACCCCCTTGCGTCACCCCACCCCACCCCGACCCACGCCGCGACTAGTGGTTGCAAATTTCACAGAAACATCGATTCATTACCAAAACATACACATTTTTTCGATGTTGATCGACAAAAACATCGATGTTTAAGATATGATAAAACATTTCGAACATGTGAAATATTTCAAATGTTCTGGTTTTAATGTGATACATAACACGTCAATATTAGTTTAAAGTCTATTCTGCCTTAAATTTGACAGTCATCTTAATTTTCTAATCAATGTTCTGTTTAGTCAAGGTTCAAATTGCAATTTTAAGGATAGTACCACGTACGAAACAATAAAAAAGGTTAAAACACTAGAGAATAGTTGCGAATAGCAAACGGTTTGGCGCAGCCTGGGGATTGACAATAATGATAGTTGACAATGGCTGTTGATTGCGAGAAATCCTCAAATAAAATAAGATTCTAGAAATTTTATTAATATTACGAGAGTTTTTACGTTGAAAACATCGACATTTCTGGACAGATATATCGATCTGAAGGCGACATCGAAAGCAAATCATCGATGTTACAATAGGGACTTTGTGCCAGACTTGGCGTCAGCAATATCGATCTTCTGCGCATGCGCAGATGCACTAAAATGGTGCAAAACGTGAACTGCGTATCGATAGTACTTTAACGTTCGAGGTGGCACAAACTCTTTAGTTTCTATATTTCTGCTCGAAAATGTTGATGTTTAAAAAACATCGATGTTTTTTTTTCCATCCCTAGTCGCGCCGCGCCGCGCCGCTTCGCGCTGTTTGAGGTTTTTGCGCCGTGACGAAAGCGGCTTTGGCGCGGCGCGGCGTCGCAGCTGCGGATAAGATAGCGGCGTGTCTCGCCGCGTGTTTTTAATGGCTCGCGACGAGCGATGCGTAATCGTTTGGATAATTTTATGGCTTGGAGGGTGTGCTAACAGGTACCTAAGGAAAGGTGTGAGCGTCTGCGAGCAGTAATGCGTCTCGGGACATCAAACGTAGACTTCTTTTGTCGGTAGTAAAATTATCGTATCAATGAAGTGCAGGAAGCAATGAATTCCTCGGTGCGGCATAGTTGGGTGTTGATACAGCGGGGTTAGGTTGTTTTTGACATGCTGCGTAATGCACTCCTATGTCATACGAATGTTAATGTAATGTTAGACATAACAACGTAACTCTAAGTTAATTGATCTGTCATATAAGTTTATATTTGAAAGTCATCTTTTGCGTTTTTATCTTGCCTAGAATTGCTTTTCTATTGTACGTGATTTATCTTCTGTGGTTTATATTTTGAAAGTAATTATCATATCTTTCATTTTTTATTTCATTAATACTTAATTGCCAATGGGTAGAATGCTGCGACGTTCGATATGTTTTGTTTTTTTTCATGACTGAAGAGCATAAGCCTCCACTATAATAGTACACTCGTACTGCTGTATTCGTAAAAGTTCTCAAACAGCAACATTTTCAGGGAACATATAATCAAATTTTTTCCACGCCATCACATGACATCTCTTAAGTGTAGCGACCCATATGTTTACAAATGCCAACTCAGAAACCCAATAAACGTCATCGGTCCTTGGTAATGGTGAAATATATGTTCAACAGCAGACCTCGAGGCCCGAGAGGGAAAGGGAGAGGAGAGAAAGGAGGGAGCGAAGAGAGAGAGGGGGAGGAAAGGACGGAGAGAGGGAAGGAAGGAGAAAGAGAGAGGAAAAGAGGGAGAGGTAAAGAAGAAGAGGGGCTGGAGGAAAGGAGAGAGGGGGGAGAGAAAGGAACAGAGGGAGAGAGAAAGAGATGGCAACTGAGATGAAAGAGAGAGAGGGGGAGTGTAGGAGGATGGCGGAAGGGCAGGTGTGAGAGGGGGAGGGAGAGAGGGCCAAGGGCGGGAGGACAGAGCGCGTGGGCGCAGGCTCGGAATGCGCAGCGAAAGGCGCCGCTCTGCTTCCCAGCGCAGCGCCCTCCGCGCAGTCCGCGCAGACGCCCCCGCGCGGCCAGTGTTTACGCCTCACATCACGCGCGCAGCGACCTTCGCCGGTCGACGGCCGTTGTTGCTTCGCGCGGCTCCCGTTACTGCGGAGGCCGATGGCGCGCGGGAAGAATTTTATTCCAGGCTTCGCTTCCGACGTGGAACAAAGCTAGGGATTTGCACGTGATGAAATGAGCATGTAAGGATTATGTTAACATTCCTCAATTCTATACTTGTTCAAGGCAGAGCAGTATTTATTTCTTCTTCCTGGTCTAAAGCGGGATAAGGCTGCCGGAATTATACAGAACTTATAACATAGATCGGAATATTTCTCAATAATAATCTGAGCAACCGTGCGTGTAGACGTGAAATTGATAAATCGTCTAGAGGTTAACTTCTTCATATCACAGCATTAGTGTAATTATTTCATTATAGTGTTCCTCATATTGTATAACTTTCGCGCGTCAAACAAAATTAAAAGCAAAGCATTTATTCTGGATATGATTATAAATTAACTTTCTGTTTCGTTCCTTTTTACTTCAATTTAATTAAAATATCCTCCTCTAACCTTGCAAAGTATCAAGGTACTGAAAATACGAAAATACATGCCCGTGACATTGAGAGTGCGTTGTGAACCAGAAAAATAAAATCCCGAGAACACGCTTCGTGATGACCAAAACGCGAGAGCGTCTTCGCCTCCAGGAACCTGCACGCCACCGGAGCGGAGAGAGGGCGGAGGGAGGGGAGGTGCCGCAACCAGCTCTCGGCGGGGCGCCCGTCTCGGCGCGTCTCGGCCCGAGGAGGCGATTACGTTTGACGCCGCGGTCAGCCGCCTTCGCCTTCGCCGCCGCCGCCGCGTGCGTCGCAGCAGGCGCCGACGCGCCGGCGCTGGCGCCGCCACGTGCGCGGGAGAGAGACAGAGAGCGGGCGAGCACGCGCGCCGACGCGCCGACGCGCCGACGCGCCGACGGACACGGCGCGCACTGGGCACGAACTGCGTCAAAAGGCAGCACAGCGGTCAGACACTCTCATGTACGCACGCACGCCCACACACTCTCTTCCTCTCTCTCTCCCCCTTTCCCCCCTCACTCTCCCTCC